TTAGGTGCCTTCCATTTTTTTTTTTTTTTTTTTTTTTCCCCTTGATGCTGTCTGTAGACTTTCTGTGAGGCAGACTCGAACCTTGCAACTAGATGAGGATGTCTTGTGTGTCAGTTACTCTCCCAATCAAAAGCTGTTGGCTGTTTCTCTGCTGGACTGCACTGTGAAGATTTTCTACCTAGCCTTGTATCCTATACCCCCATCACTTTGCAAATACATATTCTCACTCGCAATCACTAGGGGGAAATGTGATTCTGAAGACAGTATTCATACAAAAAAGAATACTACACTGTTTAATCCTTGCAAGTGTTATCCTACAGCAAAGGGTCCCTCTGTAAAGCCAGCCATTTTAGGATGTTCTCCCAATTAGGGAATTTAGAAGAGCAATCTGCCAGAACTTAGTATTTATGAAACATTAGCATGTTTATGCTATGATTATAATACTGACTCTTGGGAAGAAGTTGTAATAAACTCCACAGAATGATGCAAGTGCTGTAGCACACCACAAATTGAGAAAAGTGTCTGGTTTGAAGAAGACAACCCACAAATGTTACTTACATGGGAGATGTCCATGCATATAACAGGCAGTTTGTGTCCATACAGTGAGAGAAAAAACTAAACATAAAGAAATAATAGAAATCATTCATGTTTGTTTACACATGGAGCCAAATATAAATTTATAATGCTAAACACATTTCTGGACTGCTTGCTAAGAGCGCCTGTATCCACTATGCAGACCCTACACAGTATTTGAAAAGAATACTGAAGCCCAGTGAAAGAATTCAGGCTCATAACCTAAACCTTAGAGTCTGCCCATACAGGCTCTCTGGGACAGTTCTCTCACAAATTATCCTGAGGCCCAGTGTAGCCCTAAGACTTTGGGTATAGGGCTCAGTAGCCTGTATCTACCAATACTAATAAAGCTAATAGGTACGACAGGACAGGGCTTTCTGTCTATAGATCTTCTAAACACATGAACTAGTGCTTGTTTTAAACAAAACTGACGAACACTGTGATGCTATTAGTTTCTCTAGTACACTTAGTGCTCTGATAGACATACTTTTAGAAATACGCTATTTCTGGCCATCATCCCATTTTTTTCCTTACACTGAAAACAGATCTTTTCTCACATGACATATCCTGATTAGTTTCCCTCCCACCTAGATCCACTTCCTTTCTGTTTCTCACTAGAAAAGAACAGGCTTCTAAGAGATAATAATAAAATAAAACAGAATAAAAAATGATTAAGAGAAACTATCACATTGGATCATCCCAAATTCTTAAGGTCACAGAGAAAGACTATGCCCAGCCAAACCATTGTACCTTTAAAGTGTCAACATAGAAAATCTTCACAGTGTAGTCCAGCAGAGAAACAGCCAACAGCTTTTGATTGGGAGAGTAACTGACACACAAGACATCCTCATCTAGTTGCAAGGTTCGAGTCTGCCTCACAGAAAGTCTACAGACAGCATCAAGGGGAAAAAAAAAAAAAAAAAAAAAAACATGAGAACTCCATAACATACAGTTCCAAACTACACACATACACACACACACACACACACACACACACACACACACAAACACACAAATCAACAGCTCTTCACTTCATCCTAAAGCCCCCACACAAATGGCCACTCACCTCTTCTGGGTACTGTTTTTATCTGTCACCAACTCAAAATCCCAGAACTTGACAGCTTTATCAGCACCACCTGTCACAAAGCCACGCTGAAAATTAAATGACACTTCAGTTAAAAAACTAGTTTAGCACAAAAACTTTGCTAAGTACACACACCAAAATAGTCTAAAACTCTTTTTACTTACTGGCAAATGGCAAGAATTAAGAAAAATGTACCCACCCCCACTGCTCTCCTGGGGCAACTGCCAGACCTCATTTGAGACTTTCAGCACAGTCTAACACTGACAGACATGATCATTGAAGTCCTAGGTAATTTCCTGTTACCATTATTAAGAAAAGCTTTTAAGGAATACTATAGAGTTTATTTTTTTTTTCCTTTTCATCTTTACCTAAGAAGTCAAATGAATTTGCTACAAAGCAGTAAGATTAGTTTAATGAACATGTATCAAGTGAACAGTCTGTTTCCAGTGTTCACCTCAGAAAGTTATAAACTATTCCTCCAATATCCCTGCTCAAGCACCTTTGCAATGATTTTCCAAATTAAAAAAAAAAGCAGTCTATTCTGCCCCATTTCAGAGCATACATATCCATATGTATATTATACTAAGTGACAATAGAGCTACTCTAAACTCTGTATTTACTTTTTCCAAATATATACCTTCAGTGGGTAAAGAATTGCTGTCATTGAAAATATTTTGATAAATGCCAAAGTATTATCAAAAAACAAAACCACAAAACTGTCAGGCAGAGTCTCTATCAGGATCAACGCATAGTTCTCCAGGAGTTGAAGCACTACAAATGCAAACACTTATTACTGAGTCATCAGGCTCATATATTTGCTAAAGAATTTCTCTAGTCATCATTGGACTAAAGGGGGAATGGAAAAGTGTACTTCACCATCTGTACTGTGTTAAAATGTCCCCCTCTGTAAAGTACCACAAACCACCATTTAAAAATAAGTCATGCTACTGAGGATCAACAGCTGAACTAGACTCAACTTTGCAATGGAAGCTATTCCTATTACAGGTGTGTGGGATGACATCTTCGTGAAATCTAAAGATCGAACACAGGGGAGCTTTCTTTAATGCAACCTGGGAGGAACCTATCGTAGGCAACTAAACTTGACAGAAATAGACAGCAGCCAGAGTGTTAAAGCCCATTGCAGTTACCTGATCTGGAGAGAGAGACATGGACCACAAGGCTCCATCATGGGCAGCTATTGTCTCCAAGAGATTGCCCGAGGCCAGGTCATAAAGCTGCAGATTTCCGGTCTAGGAAAGTGAACAGAATTGTAAAGAGCACACTTACAAACTTCATTATTTATGCCTACAGAGTTTAGGAAAGCAGCAACAGTGTGGGCCAACTGCTCAGAAAACGAATCTACCTAATGTTGTCTAGACTGCTTTCATATACAGCTATGGAAAGTACAACCTTGTAGTTCTTGACTCTGCTGCTTTCACTGGTTCCACAACTTCAAAAGGAAAATACCAAGGCTATAGACAAATCTGAACAATTCAAATGGAAACTTAACTTTAAAGTTTCTCCCATGCTTTACATAGACCACCCAAGCCTATAGTAATTGTATGCCAAGATTTTTCCCATTGGTCTTGGATACGCTGACAGTAAGAACTAAAACTCTACCATGACTCCTGCCTAAACATCTGTATATTCCATGACCCTGATATTGGCATTTAACAAGACACAGGCAAAAGCCTACTACTAACTGCATGAGTTTCTACACAACATGGCAGACAGTGGAAGCAAGTTGACCTAAGCCCCAGGCCTGCCTCTTTCCAACTCTAGGACTGCTACAGAATTCATCTCCAGGAATTTGCTTTTTATAGAACATAGTTTGCATCACTAGCATCTGAGAGATATCACGAGGATCACAAGAGCTGTGCAATACCTGCCCTGCACCATCCAGGCCAGGGAATGCTCATTAGCTTTACAGCAGTCCTCAACGCAATTCACAAAACACTTTCCCAACAACAAACAGCACATGGGCACTTGTTGAAGAATAGATGGAAAATGGGCACAACTTTCAATTGGAACGCTGATTCCCGAACAGGACAGGAAACTCTTTACAGCATTTTAAACTTCTTGCCATGCAAGAAACAGCCACTGTGGAATGTTGGTTTCTTAATAAAATGTATATATATTTTACAAAGGATTACAAAAATAAGGATGACACATACTTGAAAAATATTTTTCAAAACACCCAACAACTTGAATACAGCCACAGCACTGGGAAGCTGAGACAGGAGAATACTAAGTTTGAGGCAGCCTGGGCTACAAAGAAAATCTGTCTCAAGACAAACACATGCCCTATTACCTTACTTCATTTTATTCTCACTACTTGCATTGCGACCAGTCTCTATTTATTGTGCACTCCAAAGAAAGCAAGGCTAACAGGGCTAAAGCAATTTTTCAAAGGTTGCAAATTTACTAAGTGCCAGAATATTCAGATGGGTGTCATCACTGCTATCCAGGTGAAGCAGCATTCTCTAAGAGGTTTGAAAGACAATCTGAATCCAAATCCACATCTACTCAAGGCTGTGCCAAACTGATGACAATCTGAGAATGAAGACCTGTTCAGCTTAACTTTATAATACCATGCTCTGTCAAACCTGATAATATATTTTATTATTTATAACTCGTATATCTTACCATCAATTGAACATAATTACATACGTTTGTAAGATACATATAAGGATAATCATCAAAATGATGATGGCAGTTACCTCAGTACTGTCTTTATAATTTGACAGATGATTTGATTTTTTTAAATAAGAAAAAAAAACTTTTTAAAACACCAAAAGTCAATAAACTATTATCTAACTCTAATGTATTAATTACCAGCATGCTTTAAAAATCCAATTTCTCAAACATCTTTTGAGATGAGTAGAAAATCCCAGCTTTACCTTTGTTCCTATAACCACCTGCCTATCACCAGGAACGAACAAGGAGCAGAGAGCATATTCACAAGGCATTGTGCGGATACACTGCAGGGTAGACCTATGGGAGACAAGGGACATGGAGTTCACGTTAAAGGAACTTGTTTTCCGCTTAGAAGTCAGTGTTTTCAATGCATTAAGCCACACATAGAGATTGACATGACAGAAGAAAAGTCTAACTCTTGACTCACATTCATCTTAGTCAAGGAAGAAAATATTATGGACCAAATTTGGATTTATTTGAAGAAGAAAGCTACCATAAAGACCATAAAGAAAAGAGATCATTTGGGGTGGTGGCGGGGGCGGGGGCGCAGAGGCAGATGGATCCCTATGAGTTGGAGTCCAGCTTGGTCTGTAGTTCTGGAACTACACACTGAAACCCCGTCTCAAAACAAAATCAAAAAAAAAAGGAAAAGAGATCATACAAAAGCAGAGGAAAACAAAGTTTCAGCTGGGATCCACAGGGCCCAGGCTCCAAGACCCAGGAGAGCAGAGCATAAGGAGCTTCAGGTAGAAATGGTTTACCTTTACCAATATCTGAAAGTTACTTTTAATATTATTAGTTTTACTTCATGTGTGTGGGCATTTAGCCTGCATGGATATCTGAATACCATATACATGTAGTACCCTCAGAGGCCAGAAGAGGGTGTCAGATCTCCTGGAACTGGAGTTAGAAATGGTTGTGAATTGCCATGTGGATGCAGGGAATTGAAGCCAGGGCCTCTAGAAAAGAAGTCAATACTCTTAAAGGCTGAGTTCTCACCCCAGCCCACAAATTCATCTAATAGGGCCATTAATATTTATTCATTCAGCCAATGACATACAACTCTTAGCAATGTTTTGGTCAATGACAGACCTGTTAGTCCTGTTAAGACTAAAGGAGTAGAAAATTGCTTTGTGGTTAAGAACATGTGTTGCTCTTCCAGAGAATCCAGGTTTGATTCCAGCACCCACATGGCAGTTCACAACTGCCTGTAACTCAAGTTCTAGTGGAGGGTGTTAGACTTGAATACAAAGGGTGGTGACTGTATGCATCTTCTAGCCAAAGCTCCAAATGAAGGAAAAGCTTAGTTTACTTTACCCTAAATTTATCTTTTTTATTTTATTTACGGAGAGGAGCAGGCACATATATACAGAAAGCAACTTGCAAGAGCCAGTTCTCTCTTTCTACTATGTGGGTTCCAGGAGTCAAACTCAGGTCCTTAGTGGCAAGTACCTTTACCTGCTGAGCGGTGTCACCAGCTCCACTCCAAAATCTGATATAGGCTCTATAGAACAACTGCCAAAATGCACCAATTGTATCTTCTGACTGAACTATATTTAGGTTGAGAAAAGAGCCAATCATCGAGTACCAAAAACATTTCAAAGAAAAAGCAATTCTACTAGACAGAGTTATAGGAAGCATCACTTCACAGACCTGTTCCATATCTTTATGGAATCAGCCGAAGCTGAAAGCACAGCTATATTATCGGAGCTGAATGACAAAGTGCGCACATCGCTGCGATGGCCTCCAATGGTTATCCTGCTTGTCCTGACAGGCTGAGGGGTCGGCAAGGATGTATTGAGTGAATATAATTCCACCAGGTTGTTCTGCAGCAGGAAGACTGCCTTCAACTCCCCTTGAGGTGAATGAATCAGGTCAAAGGATCTGCATGGGAAAGTCATCACAAACATTCCAGCTACTGTCTTGGCTCATGAAGTCAACATTTTTCTAAGAAAAGCTTAGTGATACCAATCTGTAGTTTAACCATGTATATAAATCTTAGATAGAAACTGTTCTGGGGTACTAAGCAGCAGTTGAACACAGGCCTTACAATTTTTTATTACTTTTAATTATTTGAGTTTGTACGTGTGTGCACAGGTGTATGGACCACAACAGTGTGTGGAGGACAGGGGACAACTTGAAGGAGTCAGTTCTCTCCTTCTCTCACATGGGTCCCAGGGACCAAAGTCAGGCTATTAGACATAGCAGCAAGCACCTTTCTTTATACCTGCTGAAGCATCTCACCGACTTACAAGCATAGGCTCTTGAAGTAAAAAAGGAAACTCTAGGACCAGTTCTTAGTTTTGACACATATTTTGTTTGTGTTGTGCTGTGTGCAATTTAAAACTTTCTGAACAATGTCCGTTTTTCTTAATTGGCAGCCTGAAAGAATCAATAATAATAAAAAATGGACACATGGGCTTGTGAGTGTGACATGCTCACCACCTTCAAATGTAATTCACACACGTTTGCAAATACTGTAACAATGCCAGGGATACTTGGTGGCTTATTACTCTATAATACTTAGACACTACATGTTCACCTACTTGATCTTGGAAGAAGTCTTGATATTGGCCACCCGATGGATCTCATCCTGCAGAGTCATTGAGACACTAGTTTCAGGGTCCTCCTCCCCACTGGCAGAATTCAATCTAGGAAGGGAAACACACCTAAAATATCACCTATCCATTTTCCAGGAGCATCCTCACTCTTACCAATCTATGCTCTTGCCCAGGAATGAACAAGTGGAATCATTCCGGGGGAGCAGCCTGACTACCAGGGTTACCCCGAGAGCTGAATGACAGTTCACTGGCCATCCTTCATAAACAGACCAGGAATGCAACAGGCCCATAACTTGTCCTGTAATCATTTGTTATAGCAGTCACTGCACAGAAGTGTTCCTGATGGACTTCTCTAGCAAACTCTACAACTTTCTCAACCAGTCTCTTACCTGAAGTTACCCAAACTTGTCATGGAGCCAGAACATATCTCACAACATTTGCCAGATGATTTTAAAAATCACTTTTAAATTTGATAAATCATCCATTAAAGATTTTTTTCTTTTTGGTATATTTGTGTGTGTGTAGGCCTGACAGCTATGTAGGATGTCTGTCTTCCTCAACTATACTCCACTTTGAGGCAGTGTCTCTTAGAGAACCTGGAGTCCTCTGGTTCTGCTCCTGGTTGACCAGCAAGCTGCAGTCTCCTGTCTGCACCTCCCTGGCACTGGCACAGACACAGTCCCAGTGTACCTGGCTTTAAAATTCTGCAGTCTATTTCTGTGTGGGTCTTATTACAACTCAGAAATGTGTTAGGAATAAAGAAGTATGGAACAGAAATTCAAACCTTGTGGTACTGGTACCCCACAAAATCTCTAGTTGTTAGTTCTAAAAGGCAAAGAAGTAAGTATTTTCTTTAAACGTCACACTTTTTGTATAATATATGGCTATCCAGGATGTTTTATTATCACTAAGTAATTGTTTAAAACATACTTTGCTTTCTTTCTAGCTTTCTTCAGCTTCTTATCCATTTTCTTCTGAATTTCTGCTTTGGAAAGGACACAAAATACTTCTAGCACAGAATCAGTTCCCTAGAAAGGAAGAAGGCAGGCAATGTGAGTCTAGGACAGACAGTTTATAATTTAGCTTATACCGGTAAAACTAAACAGCAACGTTTATCTGTCTTCCCATACTGGCTGGGTCATCATGAACAACTTAACCCCTCTGGGTTTGTTGTCTTATCTCTAAGTGGGATATTACTTACTACTCAGCATCCCTTTGAAGGACCTTTAATACTGATGAGAAAAGCTAGCCTTTAATAAATGCTTATTAATAATAACAAATGCAGTTATTTTCACTCATTAATTATGCTAGGACATTGGCCATACATAGGAATATATACTAAATTTTAAATCATGTGGGGGGTGAGGGTGGGGGCATGTGCATGAGAAGTGTAGGTGCCTGCAGAGGCCAGATGTGTCTGATCTGATCAGACTCCAACTTTAGGCTGGTGTCACAAGGGACGGACGGTGAACATTCCAACATGGACAATGGGATCCAAACCCAGGTCCTCTGCAAGAGTATTACCTGTCTTAATCACTGAGCTAAGTGCCACCTGCAGGAGGCAGGTCTTCTAACCCCAAAGCAATCAAGATATTTTAGACTCCAACTTTAGGCTGGTGTCACAAGGGACGGACGGTGAACATTCCAACATGGACAATGGGATCCAAACCCAGGTCCTCTGCAAGAGTATTACCTGTCTTAATCACTGAGCTAACTTCCAGACATATTTTCTGAATTATTAAATAATCAAAGGAAAAGCCCATACCCATACTGAATTATAAAAGAGTAAGTAGTGAAAAGGAAGTCTTTCTGTTCTATAAGCCTGGTACTCACATGGCAAGCAAGAATCCTGCCTGTCTTGTCCACAGTAAGGTTCACAACTCTGTCCCTTCCTTCCCGCATTATGGAGCCAGCTTTTTTGCATGAGAGGATGCGCTACAAGGGAAGCAAGAGGACATGGAGGCTAAACATCTGTTCTGTAAAAGCTCTGAAAAGACATGAATTTAATATACACAGGTGACAAAACACTCCCTAAAATGATAATTGGAGATGGTTATTAAGTCTGTCCTTCTTGCCCCACTAACTCAGCCCAATTGAAGAAACAAAGCGGATTACATCTTCAGATGCTTCATCTGCTTCAAGGGGGCCATCCTCTGCTTCAGGTGTGTCCTGTCTTCCAGGACACCCTTTGATTTTCTTGGGCTCTGGCTCTTCTGGGTCATCAATCTATTTTAGAAATATCAAAGAATAAAAGTTAAAATGTCTCAGGGATGACTTTTAACACCAATGACCTAGAAGCCTCTCTTAGAAGCACTTACATCTTGACTGGTGACCTCTGATAAAACTTCTTCAATGTCAGGACGAGTTTCAGAAGTTATTACAAACTGGCATTATATCTAACAAAACATTACTCATTATACTATCTCCACTGACTTTCCATAGTATTAGGACTATATATGAGTAGATAATAGTGTAAAAACTAATGGCTCAACTCTTCCTTAACTTTAAAATTTTCTTTTTGTAAGAAAAAAGATATTCTAGAGCAAAAGACTGCTGTTGGTATTGGTACTGGCAGAGGCAGTGTAAGGGGAAAAAAAAGAGCAAAAGACTGCTGTTGGTATTGGTACTGGCAGAGGCAGTGTAAGGTGTATTACAGTTTCTCCTTAAACACAAGAAGAAGAAGAAGAAAAGAAGCTAGTCTAAGACATATAAAACCTATCAGAATGGCTACTGGATATGGTTATACACTAATTCCAACTAAACCTAAAGTTAAAAATTACCTCCCCAAAAAACATGAATTGAATCACTTTAATCACTCCCGTGAGAATATACATCCCACATAGATTGTTGTTCGAAGATAAAGTCCTCTAAAGTCCACCCACACATGTCTAAAGGTCCAGGAATACAAGACTAAAATGCCACTAACAACACTATTACCAAGACTAAATCTCTTTTCAGCTCAAATAAACCAGAGCAGTGAGTACACAATGAGGAAGTCTTTGTTTAGAAGTGCCAGGTCATCAATGGAAGAACTCCTTCTATTACATCTGATTCTTTATCAATGAGATGATCAACTGTGAAAACATGCAATTGGCCATGATCTGAACACATTAATTACCTCCTGCAGATAGGCGATGTCCCAGGCTCTCAGCTCACTGTCTGCAGCCCCAGTTATTAGTCGCTTTTCTTCTGAAACTAGAACCAAGCCCCACACCTAAGAATACAAAACAGTTTACACAGTATCATTTTTAATACTTCAAGTGGTATAATGAAGCATTGCAAGAGATTACTATAATGAAGTCTCTCTGGCATTTCAAGTCTAAGTAAAGTGTACTAAGGTGATTCAAAATCCACTAACTGAAGCACTTTTCCAGTGGGGGAATGGCCTGTGGTGAAACTGTCAAGTGGTACTAGGAATTTCTCTACTTTTCTACTGTTCTGTTTAGGTAATAGCTATTCATCACAAATCCTAAGCACAATCCACGGATACCAGGGCTTCTATTGAAATGTCTGGCAAATAAAAGGTGCCTTATTAATGTCCACTTCATAATTCTCAGCCTAGTATCCACGCATCTCTCACTAGCATCCAAGAATTAAACAGTGGAGATACAGCAATACTGCTGCCAGTCAATTTTCCTAGAATCCTCCTTCCACTTCATTATTATAAATATGTTTTTGAAAGTCTGCCATAAAGAGGGGCAAAGACACTTAAAATATTCTCTGAACTTGGCTGACTGAATCTTGTTCAGGTAAACATAAAACTACCCTTTTACTGTATGTATGCTACTGTACCCATAATATCATTAAACATCTCTACAGCTGTGGCTGTTTTTGGTTGTCAACTTGACTACATCTGGAATTACCTAAATCTTAAATGACTGAGCACACCTATGAGGGATTTTTTTTCTTAACTGAATCATTCCAAGTGGAAAGACTCACTTCTAATCTGGATCTTTGAAGTGAGAAGATTAATACCTTTAATCCATATCTTTTGAGGTAAGAAAATGCACATTTAATCTGGCCACACTCTCTGCTGTCAGCCTATATAAAGGACATGGAAACTTGTTCTCTTTGCCTGCTTGCTCTCACTCTCAGTAGCACATCCATTCTTTGACTGGCACTAGTAGGAACTTCTTCAGGATTCTGGCCTCTATGAAGATCAGCTGAGACATCCAGCCTCATAGACTTTAACAACTCATAGATTCTTGGGACCCTCCATTGGCTGACAGTCACTGTTGGAACTAGCTGGGCCACAGTATGTAAGTCATTCTAATAAATCCCCTTTATATATAGAGAGAGACTCATTCTATAAGTTCTGTTCCTATAGATAACTCTAATACAACAGTCATAGGTGAAATTAATTAAAATAACAAACTCAAAGGTTTTAAGCCACCAGGGCTTACATGTATAAGATCAGAAAAGCTACATCCGTCCAATGGCTGGCATTGCTTCTTCCCAGCCAACTTCACTATCTCTCAAGACAGCACACAGATCAGTATGAGCAGTAAAAAGAGCCAGTAAAGGCCAGAGAAACCATCTTTTGCTTTCTGCTTTGTGATTGGGGTTGTCCTTCTGTGTATATGTTTCTCTTATCAGCTGATGAATAAAACACTGTTGGCCAATAGGGCAGCAAGACAGATGGGTCTAGGAGACCAGGAGAATTCTGGTAAGTGTAGGCAGAGAGGAGTTGTCATGTGATCCCGGGAAGAGAGGACACAAGTCAGGTGTTCTCTGGTAAGATAAGACCATGAAGAAATACATAGATTTGTAGTTACGGGTTAATAATTAAGACAGAGCTAGCCAGTAAGAAGCCTTAGTCATCGGTCAACAGCTTTATAACTAATATAGCGTATGTGAGTTCATTTGGGGCTGGCGAGGCTGTGGGACCAGGCTGGCAGGAAGAACCAACTGTAACAGCTTTGTCATGCTTTTCTGGAGCCCATGACCCAACACGTACCTCAGTTCGGTGGCCGACCATTGTTTTGAAGCAGTGTTGATTATCAAGGTCCCACCACTTTACCATAGTATCTTTCCCACTAAAAGAAAAACCGGGAAAAGAATCTTATTAGGAAGAATCATTAAACTAACAGGCATGTGAGAAACTCATTTGCTGTTTTAGAATAATACAGCAGTAATGCTGGAAGCTATTCTATCTGTCTGTCCTGATAAGGCAAGAATTCCAACTCTCCATGTGGCTGCTCTTCTATGAAAACAGGAGCTTCACTCCTACACAGAAGTAGCTAAGCTACAGAACACACACAACCCATCTGTCTTTCTCCCATCTCTTCACTTTACAGCACTGGCATTCTGTTTAACACGGAAACATCTGAGCCCTCCAGCTCCCTTGTCATCCAAACCATCGGCTCTTTGGCAATGAAAACACATCCTCTGTGTGGACATCTCCTCTGGGTGGTCTCTAAAGGTTTGACTCCTGAGCCACATCTATCAAAACCTGACCGCCTCCTACAATCTGCATTATTCAGTAGCTTCTCACATGGTCTCCTGTCCCATTGCTGGTTTCTCATCCCACAACACTGAGGTAACTTAGTTCTCAAGTTTATCAATTTAATGTTCACAGAATCAAGGTGAGGCTCTTCTCACATCATTCTCAAAGCCTGTTTGTTCTTATTCCTCTAATTCAGGTGTTTCCCTACACCCCTTGCAATAGAAAACAAATCTCCACTGGGACATGACGTGGGGCTCTTCAATTCTTCCGGAGCCACTACAATATTTCTTGTAATTACTGCCTGATAAACCTTATGATTTTAGTCTTTCCTGAGTGAACTCCTTGCAGACAGTGGTTATATTAGGCTGAGCCATATGAAACTGATAATATTTGATCACTTTTGAGGCAACAAAAATAAAATTTTCAAATGGTTCAACCTAACAAATGTTGATTATGCCTACGACACACACTTTTCCTCAAAGGGCAGACTGAACTTAAACACACAGCTTAGCATTCTGCTTCCTTGACTTCTAGGGATCCAGAAGATAAACGCCCACTCTACAGCAGAGTCAGAAAAGAAAAGAAAATATCAAAATGCTGTAACTCACTGCAAAACTCTAGCATTTGAGAGGCAGAAAGGGGGAAAGCTGGCAGCCTAAGAGGAAGCACACCAACATACAAGCATGAGCACAGCAGGGAACAACAAGCAATGAGGCAACTCCTTTTCAAAACTCTGAAATTCATATCTTTACCTTGTAACTAGCAGATTCCTTTCTCGTAAGAACAGAGCTTGTGTGACTGCATCCTTATGTCCCTTTAGACGGTAGAGGCCACTTTCATTGATCACATCCCAAATAATAACATCTGTATCCTTCAGAATAAAGTAACACATAAGAAAAAACACTCCTCTTACCACAAAAGGCCAAACTTTACAAATAATGGACTCAATCACTACAAAGGCAATATACCATCCTTTACAACTTGGAAAGCAGGTTAGGCAGCAGCCTATCCTTTCATCCAGGAATAATGAGCAGACTTTGTTTTACACTGCTCTAGCTGTATATGCATGAGATCTCAGGCTTTCTTTTTTTTTTTTTAAATTAGAAAACAGATTTCTAGGTATGGCTGAAGGCCCCTGTAGTGCCAGCTCTGTGGGAGGAAAGCTAGACAGTCCAATGAGCCCCCACATCAAAAACACAAAACAAAAAAAAGAGGAAAACAGAGTTCATGCTATGTATTCAGCTTATAACTATCTTATTTAATGCATTTTGATAGTTAATTCTGCTCTACTTTAATTTCTAGTATCACAATATACATTTTATACACATGGGTCATTTCCAATTTTCTGTTACTTGCAACACTGAAAATTCACATGCATATATCTTTGTACATTTACCTTAGTACGTATAAATACTAGTTTGATGTTTTTGGTTAAAGGATATGGTTATTTTTACAGTTTAGATTCATATCATTAAAATAGTCCTTAGATCGAATCTATCTATAGAACTACCAAAGATCTGAATGAGACCAGCTTCCCATCTGTGCACTCTGGCTATTATCACATTTCTGAAAATGACTGCCAATTTCCTTCCTTCAGTGAAGAATGCTTGGTCTTCATACCCACTTTCATTTATTTTTGTGAACACTAATATTTGACCCCGAACTTCCGATCTTCAGCCTATATCTCCCAAGTTTTAGGTTTATAGGGATATGGCAAGCCAAGGAATCCTTTATGTTGGGCAAGGATTCTACCAACTGGGCCGTGTCTCCACTGCTAATGCTATTTTTTCCCATGACCTGTGGTAAATAATGACCACCTTCATTGCTTTAAAACTGTTCATTTGTGTCTTCCTCATTGGTGTTATCTCTTACATGTTGTATTTTATATCTTATTTTACTACAAGTCTAATAGGTAGATGATGGTCTTTTATTAAATACTTCCCCCTTTCTTTTTATACTTTTTAAAATGTAAAAAAGAAAAAAATAATGTCTTAAATTTATACTTCAAATTATCAATCTCTTCTTCGTGTTTTTCTTTTTGGAGAATTTCATAAATATATTTTAATCATATTCTCCCCTCAATCTTCCCAGCCACCCAACTTCATGTTCTTTTTCCCTCCTTAAAAAAATAAATAAAAATAAAAACAACAACAAAAAAACCCCACAAAAGACAGAGTCTGATTTGTATTGGCCAACAACCCCTGAGAATGTGGCCCGCCAGAAGCAAGGTTGATATACTCAGTGTTACTACACTGAAGAAAATTGATTTCCCTCTCCTAGTAGTTATCAATTGCATATAGCTCACTTCCCCTTCTCCTGTGCTGGGAAAACAATGTTTTTTCTTTGAGAGACAGTCTCAACTGTGTTTCCCTGGAGGCCATAGCCTCACTGATGGCTTCCAACTCACAAATACAGGTTCCTGTCTCTTAACTGCTAGGATTAAAGGTGTGTGCCAGCTTGCTTGGCTCTAGCTCATTAACTTTTAAAAACAGAGGAATAATATTAAGTTTACAGAATTCATTGGCAAATTATTACCATCTTCCATTCTAATCTTCCTTGTTTTATAGTTTGGGGTAGCTCTTCCACAATATGATAGGTTCCAAAGTACCTTTGTCTTATTCTTTTATTACACAGACTTTTATCAGAGACTATAACAGAAAATAATACTCCCTCCTCTCATTCATACACATCTTCCTCACTCTATTTCTCCCAACTGTATACTAGCTTGGACATTGAATAACCTGCTTCTACATAAGTGTGAGAAAATAACCCTGGACACCTGTGTCTGAGGCTCACCTTGGACCCAGAAGCCAGTCTGCCTCCTAGCTGATCGTACTTTAAGCTGGTGATAGCTGCTTTGTGTCCATTGAAGGTTATGTTTCCTTCACCACTAAGGAGGCTGAAGATTCGGATGGATCCATCCTCATAGCCAACAGCCAGATGCAACCCATCTGGGGAAGGACATAAGCAAGTGACTTCTTGTTTAAGCCCCTGAAGGATAAGGATCTGAAATCATAAAAATCAAAAGGAATGCAGAAAAGTGAGGCATGTATTGAGACACCAGAGTGGGAATGATTTCAGTAATACAGTGAGTACCAACAATTTATAGTCACTGATGCACAATGATAAAATCCTACAAGGAAAGACAATGATATCCCCAAAAAGTAATCATTTCCTCTCAAGCCTGACATTGGTAGACACATGCAAATTACCCAGGTAATATAATAAGTTACCAAATGTTTCTCTTAGTGAATTTCGGTAAAGGGTTATAAATCCATCCTTGTTCTAACAAGCCTCATGGCAGTATAGTACTAGTGGCTCCATCCCAAGAGGCTCTGGTGCCAACATCTATCTATCTATCTATCTATCTATCTATCTATCTATCTATCTATCGAGTCATACAATAAATAGGGATGAGTTAAGTATCTCTATGTGCTTAGCACAAAGAAATAACTTCAGTCGCAGTCAAAGTGAGTTCTGTGACTACTGGATCTCACCAGCATATATAAGAAAAAGATTCCACTGACACAGCGGAATAACAGTCCTTTTTAAATCCTAATATTTTACAACTGACTTTGCACACAAGCAGAACTTGAAAAGTAGAATCTGTACACATAAGTAAAAATGAATAAGAGCTACAACTAATGACCTAGCATATTAATACAAACAGACATCTAAGAAGCAAAGGGACGTGGTCTCTTGAGGGATCACACACAAATTAATGCATTCAGGCCAATCAGGGTTCTTCCACTCCAAAATTAACGCCAACTTACTCATTTCAGACTCACCTTCTCTCCTTTTCTCAAGTCCCAGATAAAAACATGTTCGCAGGCGGGTACTGCCACATAGCGTCCTTTCTCTCCACGAAGTGTCACAAAAACAATATTACCTTTTTGGCTGCCAATCAAGCCAAAGACAGCACTAGCCACATATCGGAGATACTGTTTGGTAAGCCCCATGTCAGGATGTCTGAAGCTGCCAGGAAGGCAATCTGTGTATATAAACAAAATTCAGTTTTTGGAGTATATTGGCTCTGGAAGGCTAACAAACACAAACCACATAGTCAAAAGCATACAACTTGGTTCAAGGTATATTATTTGCTATACAAGCATGTTCCCCAGCACCCCCACAAAAAGCCAGGCACAGAGCAATGTGTGTATGATCCCAGCACTCAGAAAGGTCACTTGGAGCTCAGTGTCAGCCTAGCAGAATTCATGAACTCCCAAGTTGAGAGAGACCCTGGGTGTACAAGAGAGGAAGCCCTTAGTAAATGTGTCCTGTTAACATGAGCACAGCCATGTCAAGGACTTCAAATGCCTAGGACACATGAGAGTGGCAACATCTTCTTCTGGTCCAAGTGGGGATGTTTATAGTGTTCCAGAAAATGTCCACTGTACCTTTCTTGCCCCTTGTTTATGGCTTGAAGACTGCTCCTCTATAGACTGTTGTCTGTATTGAAATTAAAACTGCCTCCTTGTTCAGCTGCATATAACCCTGACTCCTTCTTTATCTGTATGTAATAAACCCTCCTTCCTGTTTAGCCTGATGTAATAAACAAGAGGAGCTTCTGGGATGTTATTCTCCATCCAAGAGTCCAGACCACCTGATCTCAGCTTTTCTGTATGTGTGTCAATGTGTCTGTCTTTTCATCACTCCCTTGTTTGCCCAAGTCAGGGTTCCAGAGCCCAAGCCATGCAAGGACTGGACAGCCATGTCTCAAGAAATGAGAAAGACACTCCACGTCAACCTCTAGCCTACACACACACACACACACACAACCTCCTCTACATACACACACTTAGATGTATGTATGCACATCCAACAACATGAAATTTGTGAGTTCTTACATTTTATTTACTCTGAATAAATCACTGACCTTACTCAGTATGTAATCTCTCACACCTTGAATCTTAAACTATATACACTATCACAATCACCTCATGAGTATCTAGCATAAAAGCTTCAAGGCAGCCATAAAATTCTCTTTTGCCCTCTCAACCACTATCAAAGTTCTGGCACTAAAACTGTTCAGCTGAGATTGAATAAGGTTTCATCAATGATTACTGTAAACCTAGCTTCATTCCCCCCTTTCACACGGAAACCTAAATTAAGCCAATAAAGAAAGGAAAGGGTTAAGCATACTAGAGTCTGGGGTTCAATTGTCAGTGCTAAACAAGCCATGTGTGGTGGTGCACGCTTTTAATCTCAGCACTGGGAAGGCAGATATAGGGTCTCAGAAATTCAAGGTCACCTTCAGTTACATAAAGAGTCCAGGGTCAGCTTGGGCTACATATGACCCTGTCACCCTATCTCAAAAAAAGAAACAAAGCAAAATAAATAAATAAACTCAGTTCTTCTGCAATTATTTTTATTCCTCCAGCTTAGCTGAAGTTGCTCGTCCGATACCCTTCTGCAGTATTTTCAGTAGAGAACCCATACAGCATGAAGCTCGGGGGCTCCCACACCTCTGTTTCTAGTTGTGTCCAGATCCATGACTAGAATTCCAAGCATTTACAGGCCACCCCTCTTGAACACCTCACATGACTACCTTACTTTCTAAACCCCTCATATTATTTTACTTTAAAACACACTATCTCCCCAGCTATCAGGGTTTAAAACTTTCTAGTAACCTTTGACTTAAAAAAAAAAATCATAGTAGCAAGGCTTAGAGTTAACGTACAGTAAATGATTTATTGCTCACAATACATGCAGTTAACTGCATGCAGTAACTGCATCAACAGAACCAAAAGACTAGGAAAGTGTCTAGTGCATTGCAAACATGTGCGCAAAACTTCTCTTCAGTAAGAAAAGAGGCAATTCTTATTTCCATTTTACAGACAAGGATAATTAACAGAGATGCTGAACGAGCTCAAAAATCAACCGGAAAGCACCAAAGCCAGGCTCCAATAAAGCCAATCTAACTTCAAATTTTCTGCTTCTAATCACCTCGCTAAACTCGTCCGTCTCTCGTAGGTCTGTCTCTCCTTTGACTGTTTACCCGTTTTTCTCTTGCAGCACTTTGATTCCCAGCTTGTTATTACTGACTTGCTGCACTACTTTTCTACCTAGCAGTAGCACTGCCGTGTTTTTCATTCGAAGTCAACAGTATCGCTCAACTTAACCGTTTGCAAACGTACTGCTCCTACCCAAGGGCTTTAAAGGGATAAGCTGTTTGCCAAATGCAGGGGTCCACACGGACCCAGTTACTTTAGCAAGCTGCGTATTTCTGAAACAACTTCTCTTGTTTCCCTTCCTCTTACCTTGTCATTCTCAAATTATCCCCTTGCCTACTCTTCTTTCTGTTGCACATCACCCACCCCCACCCCCCACCCCCCCCGCCCCC